ATGTGCCAGTATAATTAAATTGTTTATTTTACAATACAATCGTTTAAGTGTTAGAGGGTCGACTGAAGTTATATTACGGCTTCATGGAAAACTGGAGTGAAACAACGTTTGAGTTGTATTGTATTGCGTATAATAATAAAGTAGACCCGTGTTATGTCATGAATCTTTATTGACACGAATCTACATATATGTATATGGGTAGTTATTAGCTCCGTGACAAAATGATTGAATTTTATTTTAGATACTTTTTTTAGTTTTAGTTTTATGACAAATTATGTTTTAGACTTCTACATAGGTATTACGTCATGGTGTACGATTTGGAACAGTCAAACAATTGAATAAAAATTCGTACATAAAGTTAAATGGACTGTTATACTACCTTTTTAGGAAGGTATATGAAACAAAGATAACCAAATTATAAAACGTGATCCGTATTTTAGAATCGGACGTAAATACGACGCGGTTTAACTCGGCTTCTATTGGTGTAAGCTAGATGTGTAATTTCTCATACATAGCCTTCCTCAATGAACAGCCTATACAAAAAAAAAGAATTGTTCAATTTGAACTAGTAGTTCCGGAGATTATCGCGTTCATCATGATCAGCCTATAAGTGGTTGAGAAGGTTAGAGCATTAATCACCACGCTTGCTCAATGCGGGTTGGTGATTTCAAACTTATAATTAGAACTTATAAGCCCAGGTTTCCTCACGATGTTTACCTTCACCGTATGTCAGTGGTGTCTAAATAATCATAGAAAGAACATATAACTCGGAAAAAGTCACATTGGTACTTGCCAGGTTTCGAACCCACACCCTCATGCATAAGGAACGGGCGCCTTAACCTCCGGGCCACCACGACATTTTGACATTCACGACTATATCGCGTTGAAGCAAACATACTATTTTACTAAATAATATTAGTATCGATTCAAATAATTCGTAGTAATTTGTAAGTATGTCACGTTTAATTAATTATTCAGAGGCATACATCGCGATTATAAAGTGCCCATTGTTATTTATAACTATATCCAAAAATGTTCCATACGTGGTTAGGTTAGCTAAGACCTTATTTTGAATTACCACATATCAATGACAATTTTATAAAGCCTAAAAACTTTTTCTATGCCTTCTTACAATATGAACGCAGTCTGTATACATCCTTCGTAACACACACACATATATATGTACGACATTCACATGAGAAAGTTTAAAAAAAGAACGTTATAGGAATTATTTAAATCCTTTTTGTAAATACTGTTAGTTAATCTGTGTAAGTAAGTACATAAAATTAAGACTCAGCATATTTCATTTCTCAAAGTCGTCAAGGATCAAACCAATATTCAGTTTCAAATGGCGGCACCAGGTGGTGGAAGACCATTAGTTATAACAAGTATCCTTACAGCCATTAATCCGTGGTCACTGTCTATCCTAGGAATGCTTAATGGCCGACTTAGCCTTACCACCCAGAACATTTACTACAAACTTAGTCTTGCCATTGAAAAATGAAAACATGCCTTAAATTAATAACTCCAATGTTCAAATCACAATAAACGCTTCCCTCCGCTTTCTAGCCACGTAAATTTGTTAAAGGAATTGCAGCTTTAACGTTACAGTCACACAGTACGTTATTGTTATTTAAATCCCTCCGTTCGTTCCGACAATGGGTGCTGGTCTAAGAAGATTTTCTTGAAGTAATGTAACCAGCTATTTGTATACTTGCTTTGTTTGTTTAATATAAGCAAGATTTCCTGGTACATTTTACACGAAGATATATATCAGCTGAGGCGTTCCAAGAACTAGTGTAATGTAGATTTATGTTACTGCACTTTAAGAATTTGTTAAAGCGTTTTGCGGTTTAGATTTAGTTTAGAAACTAAACAAGACTTTTTTTAGAGAAAACTGTTTTATTTTTTACTGTTTATATTTTTTAAACTTTCCTACATTATTATGAAATGAACAAGGGCTGAGTTATCGCATAGTGCTGGACTTACTATACCAAATATTGTACAAGACTTCGAACTTTAAATACGAGGCACCGGGTTGCAGGAACAAGGGTAAACATGTACAACCAGTCCGGCCCGAAGTAGGAGAAGGATCGGGATGGTTTTTATTCACTTATCAGGATCTAACCCTCTCTTGTCCCACTCTGAATAGGGCTGTATATATTTTTTCCCCATTAAAGAGGTTCAAAAACAGATCATCATAAATAAGCATCAGCATTGCAAGCCGTTTGACTAACGAAGCATTACAAAAAAAAAACAAAAATCTTAAAACACTGAAATAGAATCCTCACTCATCACTTTCTTTAATATTCATACTACGTTCCTTTTCACACTTTTTTTGCGACAAAAAGGAGAGCTCTTCACAGTGTCAACACTTTCACGGCGATGTATACCAACCTAAGGTAATGACAGGTTACTTGCCCATGGCTGCCAACATTACAGAATGACAAATTGCTCCAGGCGAAGTACCGGAAGTCTTGTTAAAAAGAAAATACTCAATTTCGTGTTTCTTTGAAATGAAGTCATTAGTTTTGTGTGGTTCTTTCGAATGTTTGTTGAAGTAATGATTAGCGGGGTTGTAGAAATGTTGTGTTCTAAAGTTTATCTGGTTAATTTTTGAGAAAAAACACAAAATAATATTACGAGTCAATGAAGGGAAAAACATACTGTATTTCCAGCGCGAACTGCGTAAGCGAGCTTGCAACGTTAATTTTAACTGACGAATTATATTTTACAAAAAAAAAAGATGAAGGACGTTTTTTTTGTAGTAACGCTGATGGTAAGCAATTGGCGTCGCCCATGGACTAGCAACACCATAAGGGTTATAAGTGCCTTACTGGCATTTTGTGGGTGGGAAAAGCGACGTTCTACACCACATACTTCTTGAATAATTTAGTTTTATAAAACATATTTTCATAATGAAAATATTAATTAGACTAAACGAAATGTACTTAAATATGAGCAAATAAAAGAATACGTTTGCATAAAATATGTATATTCAGAAGCTTCAAGCTAATAGCTACTTTATTATCTTTACATAAAATATAGGCTTCCAGTACAAGTTATTTCAAGATTCTTACATGGCTGTATTTCAGAATTTAATAATGATAAGTACAAGACATTCCTGAATTCTTGTACTTACTTATTTGTCATCTGAGTCATTTTTCTTGTTTAGTTATTTTATGTAGAGAACGTTAGGTTTTATTTAAAGAAATATTAATTGACGTTATTATGTTGAAACCGACAGCGAATTTGGAACTCTTCAGATGGTTTTTATGGTCCCAAAGCCAGCAGCAAAGGTAGAAATCGGAATCCTTATGGATTTGTCATGTCTGTTTGTCTATCTGTATTTATGGTACAGCCACTTTTTTTCCAAATTACAATAACTTTATTGTTGACACATAGAAATTTAGACAAATTCCTTGAGTTAAGTTTTAAGATTTTATACAAAAAAAAACCATTATTGGGGGTTCCTTATATTTACTTGACAGACAATAATTTCTATTTTATAATTTTTATGTAGAAACATGTCTTTGGATACGTCTTAATTTCTTAAAATATATATCCAAGTCGTTTCGACAAAAAGCTTTGTCACTTTCAAGTGACATGTGACTATTATCAATAGCGTATTAATTAATTGAGGTTATGTTAAGTTTGCACTATCAATAATTACAATATGCAGATGGCTATAAAATGCAGTTACTAGTACTGAAATTTGATCTCAATATATATACCTAAATTATTTGACATATTTTTTAAATAAAATACGTATTGTTTTGTGCATTCCAAGTTTATCACCAATACAATTGATTTGATGTTTATTGACTGTTTTGAAAAATGCAATGAGCAATTATTTGAATGTAGGTATCGGTGATCGTGATCGTGGCTATTGTTATATATATCTTTCTGTATTGTACTCCAGTTAATTTGAATCAAACTGTAGTATCCCTCGTCAAGTCCCAGACCAAAGACATTCCGAGCGGCGGCACCGCGCGATATTTTTCGACATTCGTAAGCGCGCGTCTATGGATAACGAGCAAGAGTAACGACACGTCCAACAAGAACCTCGCTCGCTTCAAGGAGGCATCAGTCCACCCCAGATGGGACCTACTAGGGCGGATGTCCAATTGCGTTTGCGGGTCTCTCCCACCCTCTGCGGACATCTTTTTTATTATTCCCCTCCACCTCAAAAAAAAAACACTACTTACTGCAATAATGAGTGCTCAATTACAATTGTAAAGATTTGAAAAAAGACCAAGCAAGAACATTGACATTTTATTAGTTGGTACATTGTAAAAGTTGAGAAAAAAAATAATTCGCTTTAGAAAACCCTCTTCCAAGGCAATAGGAAATACAACGTGGAATAAAGCTTTCTGAAGAAATTATGTAAATGTGTTCCAAACAAATATCATCGAATACGAAATAGTTTATTCATCATAGAGTAACCTTTTATTAAACGAAGATTTATTTAATAGGAGATCCATTTAACGTGCTACGCCTACGTTATTTACCGCATAACTAAGCTTATGGACAGGAACGGATTATAGGCTGAAAGTTTTAGCGAGAACCTATGGCAGTGTTTTTTTTATTCATTGAATTGCAAATCAAACGTAAAATTATTTATCAATACCTATTAATTATTACATATGTATGTTTTTTCGTAAAAAAACATGCTTCGAAAGACTTCAGTAAAGTAAGAAGTTGTAAGAAGGCATTTACAAACGAGATAAAATATGTTTTATTAGGTTATATTTTTGTAGCATTTCTTAGAAAATGTACACTCTTATTCCGGCCCTGGCTATTTCCAAAAATAGGTCATTATTATAACATAATGTTGTAGGCTATATCCTATTTTCGTCAAATAAAACGGTTCTAACCTAACCCATACTGGGACCTTCCGGGACATGATTAGCATTTGAAAGACCGGGTGGTCAATATCATACTTTTTTAATTTTCGAGTGGTCGCTAGTATGACTACTGAGCAAGGGTTTAATGTCCAGGTCGAGCAAAGTATTGTCAGGGATTTTTCAATTCAACTCAAGATGATCGACGGCAGCCGGTCTCGCGCTATGCTTAAGTTCAGGCCATGGGGCGAAGCGAGAGGAATCGGGAAGCCGTCTTCTCCTTCTCCGAAGCAGTATTGCCAGATAAAGAGGAAGCAGCCTCATATTCCACTTAGCTCTAAACCTCAGCACGGAGCAGAAGAAACGTGGTTTGGTTTTTAGAAATAGTCTGATACTCGCTTTTGGGCAAGTTATTGGTCAAATGATAACTTCAGATTAATATCTGAAGCATTCCCACTGGAATGCCTAACCAACTTTAAATTTTCAAATTAATTTAAGTCTTAACCAATCGTTCTGGCCTATCCAATAACTGCGCTGATTGCTTACCATCAGGCGACCAGTCTGTTTGATTGCCATCCTATCCCACAAAACAAAATACAATTTTAATAAAACGGTCAAATATTTTGTCTCTTCATTAATTTTGCTAATTACAGCCTTTTTTTTGAAAAATTGAATAACGGTTTTTATTCCAACATCCGTAGTTTTTTATATAGAAAAATATATCGGCAGTCATTTTCCTATTTTGTAGGTTTAAACCACAATTTCAACGGTGTGTTTTTTGACGAAATGGCAAATAAAAGAGTTGTCTGCGGCTCTCAGCATAAAGCTTAAAATACACAAAGAGAATGTTTCAAAATAAAAAGCGGCCATCGAATTGAGCGTACTATATATTTTACCTCGAATTGGTTAAGTTCAATTCAATCCGCCAGGTGGCGCTGCAACATAAACAGTGATATATAAAGTGCTGCCGTAAATTAAAGTTTAAAAATATAATAAGTGCTCAGTAGGTAGTGAATATAGAATAGTAGTGATATACGACATAAGAACCTAGCTCTGCAGTGCAATCAGCGACATTAGTGGTGGAATAAATATAAAAACAAGGTCAATTATATTATTGCTTACTTTAATAAGAAAGACTATAATAACTACGAAGGCTACAATAAGTGCATCAACCAGCAATAAGTGGTCAATCAATACGTCATACCAATACATAAGTGATTTAAATTTAATTGTTTACACTGGTGCAAACAAAGGAATAAAAAAGTGACCTTTGTTTTGAAATTAACATTGATATCTTAAAGACGGTGCAAGAATATTTTTTCTATAGTCAACAAGAATATGGCATGCTTATTTAACGGGTTGATTGTTCACATTGATGGCGCAATCGTGAGTGAGGCCGCCTTATGAACGATTAACTATGCGTTCGTATCCAGCCGAGTATTGATATCACTTTTTGTAAATCTTGAGATTTTTCTGAATCATTTAATTCAAGAACCAAATGCTTATCGACTGCATAACTCGATGATATAGTCTTCGGGTGAGCTACCTGATGTTGTTGCTTATAAAACTGCATTAATTAAATAGTAAATAGAGGATCGACTTAACGTTCCTTGGGCACTCAAACCTTACTGTTGTTTCAAAAATCGAGACATAAATATACCTACTCTTAAGTATATTACAACTACATTGTTGGAAACATGTCCACCGTGAGAAGCACGCCCCGCAGCCCAACGATGAAGCAAACAAACAACACTTGTCTGTCACAGGCCAAATCAGAATCGGATATAGCTAATGTAGTGGCTATTGATCATGTCAATATTAATCGGAATAAAAGAGCTCGAAGGGCTGACTCGCCTCAGGAACCTACTTCTTTAAGCTCTCACGATCTTCAGACTCTACTCGCAGATGCGAAGGATGATCATCAAGACTCCCCAATCGCAAAGGTTTTAACAACCCAAACTGCTTTAATGGCCAAGCTGGCTGCTGACATCAGTGTAATAAAAACCCAAAACACCCAAATCCAATCAGCGAATTCTGATATAAAGAAAACAAATGAAGAGATAGTTAAATCCATGTCCTTCATAAATCATCAATTTGAGGAGCTTAAGAAAGAAGTTGAAGACCTGAGAAGAGAACGCCGCGAACAGTCTGAGTATATAGTGAGCTTAGAGAAAAAAATACAGGACCTACAACACAAATCGAGATCGTCGGGTATCGAAATCCGTAATATTCCGCAAGCTTCTAATGAATCTAGTACCGCACTAACTAAAACATTATGCGTCCTTGGCGATGCTGTTGGTGTCTCCGTAAAAGACTCTGATCTGAGGGATGTCTATCGCTTGCCAGGGAAATCATCAAGCCCAACTTCCACGACGCGACCAATTATAGCTGAATTCTCGTCTGTGATGATGAAAGATACACTCATATCTGCAGTACGTACCTTTAACAAATCCAGGGAAAAGCAAGACAAACTAAATACTGGGCTCCTTGGCATCTCAGGTACTAAGCATCCTGTTTATGTAACTGAACAACTCCCGGGTAACACTAAAAAACTGTACTATCTATCAAGAGAGTTCGCTAAAAGCAACAACTTTAAATTTTGTTGGGTTTCTAATGGCAATATATTTTTACGCAAACACGAAGGTGATAAACAACTGTTAATTCGGTCAGAAAATTGTCTACAAGTTATTGGTAATGCTAGTAAGTGACTAATAGTCGGTACTGTGGTTAACTGTATATTAATGTCTACCTGCTTTAAATTATTAACTTTCTTTATCGTTCTCCCTTTAAAATGTATAAAAACGTACAAACCAAATTACATTTTTCCAATCACACAAATAAAATCACAACACAACACATATACCTCATGTCATTTCACTTTCCTACACTCCTGCCTCACTTGCACAATGGCTTTTCCTCCAACACTCAACCTTATGAATAAAGCAAACATTAACCAGCAATATTCTATTCTTCACACACTATCCCGTAAGATACCATACACTTATATTAATAATAATTTTATTAAATTATTAGTATGGTATCTACATAGTATTAAAAAAAAATAAACAAGATTCGATTTCAATAATTCTAATCTGTTATTGGATTATGATAATCTTGAGCACCAGATTGATTGTACTCTGGTCAATGATTCTTGTTTGGGCTCGCAGATTGTCTCTTGTCATGAAACAAAATCGCTTGTGATTTTGTCCTTGAACATTAGAAGTATTCACTGTAATTTTGATATCTTTTTGGCCTTCATTGCGACACTCAATTTCCAAGTTGACATAATGGTGCTTACTGAGTGCTGGACAAACTGCAATGTCCTCCCTCCTGATATTAAGCATTACAATATGTTTTGGACTATAAATAGTATTAATCAGAACGACGGCGTAGTAGTTTATGTGCACCAAATGCTTAATGCCTCCTCCACTGAGCCCGACTTTTTGGAGGGAAACTGTCTGATTGTTAATATTGATCCGGATTTAACTGTTGTTGCTTCGTATCGCCCACCGAGTTTCAAAAACACAACCAAATACCTAAATTCCCTAGAAAATGTCTTATCGACCATATGCTCACCTAATTTAATGCTAACTGGTGATATAAATATAAACACACTAGACGCAACGTCAGGTCCTGTCCAGGATTACCTTATTCTAATTGCTATGCAGGGCTTAAGAGTCGGCATTACTCATCCCACCAGGCTTGACAACTGCCTGGATCATTTCATGGTCAAAACTCGCAAAAAATGGAAAACTGTTGTGTTCGAGCAACCTCTAACAGATCACTGTCCCATTCTATTAAGTATAGATTGCGCTGCCCTATCAACAAATGTATCAAATAGTAAGAAGGTTGTCCTTAATTATGAAGGAATAAATAGCCTACTCTTGAAGGAAACATGGAATGACATTTATTTGGCTGGCGACGCAAATATTGCAGCTGAATTATTCACAAAGAAACTTCTGGAAATAATCAATATTAATAAATACTTTATAGATGTACGGAAAAAGTATCGACCTTTAAAACCATGGATCACTAGAGGTGTTGTAAAATCTATTGTAAAGAGGGATAAACTTCATAAACAAGTAAAAAAATCGGACAGTAAAGAATCAGCTAGGAAGCACTACTTGACATATAGAAATACCTGCAACAAAATAATCAAAGATCTAAAAAAACAATACTATCAAGAACAATTGGTAAAATATAATAAAAATATCAGGGAAACTTGGAAAATTGTTAAGGACGTATGCAGCATAAGCTCTAAAAAAGGTGATCCACAAGTTCTACTAAACATAATTTGCAATAGTCCCATCGATTCACTTAATGTTGTTAACACTCATTTTGCGTCAGTTGGTGGAATTTTAGCTAATAACATAATGTCGAAATTAAATATAAGTGAACATGAACTTGCATTAAAGGCTAAACTAAACAGCACTCCCCTACACTCCATGGCCTTCCTGCCTACTGATCCTGTAGAGGTATCAAGCATTTTAAGAGGAATGCGATCTCACAGTGCCCCGGGTTGGGATGGAATTACTTCTGATATCTTAAAACAAAATATAACATCTCTTGTGCTTCCTTTAACCTACTTCTGTAATTTGAGTCTAGAAAGTGGAATCTTCCCAAATATCTTTAAAAGAGCTGTAGTATGCCCCGTATTTAAGTCTGGTGATAAGACTAACCCTACAAACTATAGACCTATATCACTTTTAACTACTCTATCAAAAGTTCTTGAAAAAATTGTAAACAAAAGACTTGTAACGTATTTGGAAAAAAATAAGCTGATAAACTCTAACCAGTTTGGATTCAGGGCAGGCAGGTCCACTGAAGATGCCGTTCTGAAGTGGACAACAGCAGTGATGACTTACATGTCTAAGGGTGAGAGGTGCATTGGCGTCTTTTTGGACCTCCAAAAAGCATTTGATACGGTCTCCCATTTAATTTTACTGACTCGGTTGGAAAACCTGGGAGTTAGAGGTACAGTTCTTGACTGGTTTAGAAGCTACTTGTCCGAAAGGACTCAGAGGGTGGGGGTAGGGGATGCTCTAAGTGACCAGCTAGCCTGTACCTTTGGGGTTCCGCAGGGCAGCACACTAGGACCTACATTATTCTTAATTTATATTAATGACCTATTTAACGTCCTACAAGGCCATGTGGATCTCCAAATGTTTGCGGATGATACTGTTCTCCTTGTTCATGAAAAGGCATGGTGTACGGCGTTCCGAACAGCTGAAAATAGACTAGCTAGAATAACTCAGTGGCTTGAACTAAATCTTCTCTCTATTAATACCTCAAAAACTAAATATATGTGTTTTTATAAGTCATATAAATCGAAACCTGATGTTAACCTACAGTTAAAAATTCATACCTACCCATGTAATTCTATGCTGTATTGCAAGGATTGCACTTGCGCAATTCTATCCAGAACCCACTCCATCAAATACCTGGGTGTTTCTGTGGATGATGGACTTGATTGGAAAGAGCATATCGG